GCAAGAAAGAAACTTCTGTTGTGCTAAACCAATGAAACTTGGGGTTTGTATGTTACAGTAGCTAGTATTACCCTAATATAGCAACAGATAACTAATGACTGGCCAGCCGACCCTCCCACATTTCCTGTTCTAGTTCTGTATTGCGTATTGCTGTATAACAAAACTAAGTAGTTTAACACAACCATTGTGTTATGTTCACAGACTGTGGGTCAGGACTCAGGTGGGGTACAATACAATAGGAGTGACAATTCAGGGATCACTATTCCATGAAGTCTGGGGCCTCAGCTGGAAAGACCCAAAGGCTAGGGTTGACTCACTGTTGGGGACTGGTGTCATTTAGGGGTTAATTCCCATGTGTAGCAGTTGATGCTGGTTATCAGCTGGGGACCTCAATTGGAGCTATCTGCCAAAACATCTACACGTGGCCTCCTCATGTGTTTGTTCTTTCCACTTCCTTTTGGTGAGTGGTTTCCAAGAGCATCCCCAAAAAGGTCGTGTGGAAACGGTATTATCTTTTATGGCATAACATCAGTTTTGCTGGTGTCTCATGCCCATCTAGATTCCAGGGGAGGAAAGATTAATGCCATCTCCCAATGTGAGGCGTGTCAATATCACATTGTAAGAGTATGTGGGATGGGAGATGTTATAATCATCTTGGAAAACAGTCTGCCCCATTTCCATATTTCTTTCCTCCCTTTTCCTTCCTTCTTCTTGCCTTGTGCATCTTCCTCTTCTTGTTTTCCTTTCTTACTTCCCAAGCCTCTCCACTGTCAACTCCTTCTAACACTCCTCAGCTCAGTTCGATTCACCAAAATTCGGTGTATGTAATGAGACAGGTGTCAGATCCACAGATACACCCAACTTCCTTTTCTGCATCCTGCTCTTTTCTTTCCCCTCCATTTTCCCCTCTTGAGATGGGTATAATGCAAGGCTTCTCGGCCTTACCACTACTGGCATTTTGGACTGGATAATGCTTGTTGTGGACTGTCCTGTGATTTGTAGGATGTTTCGTGGCAACCCTGGCATCCCTCACTATATGCCAGTATACCCCTGCCCCTGTCATGACAATAAAAAGTGCTCCCAGATATTGTTAAATGTCCCGGGGGCTATCTTGTAGGACAGTGGTGAGGATTAAGTAAGATACTATGTGAAAAGCATCTAGTACTCATAAGTGGTACCTAATTCATTGTCGGGGTGTTTGTGATAATGGAAGACTAGAAAGAGGCAAACCATATATCATTCAAGGACTGGTTGAAGAAGCAATGGTACATCTGCACAATGGAGTGATACACAGCTGTAAAGAGAAAGGAGCAATAGAGATCTATACTGCTATGGAGCAATCAGGATATGTTGTTAAATGCAACAAACAAGGTACAGGGGTTGGGGAGGGCCAAAAAGGGGAAGCACAGGAGACTTTATAGGGTGATGAAACTATTCTCTAGGACACTATAATACATGACACTATGCATGTGCCAAAACTCATGAAACTTTATGAAAGTGGACCTCAATGTATATGAATTTTATTTTATTTTTTAAATGTGTTTATCTTTGAGATTGAGAGAGAGAGAGTGTGTGCATGAGTGAGGGAAGGGCAGAGATAGAGAAGGGGACAGAGGATCCAAAGTGGGCTCTCCACTGACAGCAGCAAGCCTGACGTGGGGCTCAGACCCACAAATCGCGAGATCAGGACCTGAGCCCAAGTTGGACGCTCAACCAACTGAGCCATGAAGGTGTCCCTCAATGTATATGAGTTTAAAAAGATCATTGTAGGAGGTCAGGGGATCCCAGATAGAATTCAGACTGTGACAAAAGAATCTAACTATGAAACAGTCTCTTTGAAGCGGGTGGGGAATAGGGTACTGATCCAAGTAACTCTGGAAATGAGTGAAATCTGTAAGACTAAAAGCCAAAGACTTCTTCATAGGTAGTGTACTCTAGTTGATAAAAGTGTTTCCCAGGGGTGTATTGGTTAACAATCCTGAAAACACTATACTGGAATACTGGAACACGTATACTGGAAATGACGTGATTAACGGAAATTAAGTAAATGGATGGCATTTTGGGAGTGGAAGGTTGCAGATAAACAAGAGTGGGGGAATGACTAGAATGACCCAGGTGCCAGGTGGTAATGCCTTAGATTTGTAAGACATTAGTATGCACACGTTTAACTTACAGACGGGGATATATGTATTACTACATACATACATACCTACATACATACAATATGAATGCATACATATAAACATTAATAGCTATGTGGATCTAGAGGAGTTATATTCATACAAATATTTACTTCCCTGTCAGCTGAGACAACCTGGAAGTAATAACATTCCAATGGCAACAAGCACACCTAGTGCCCAGATCTTGGTTTATGGCACCATTTCCCAGTAAAAGGAAGCAGGGCTCCTTGGAGAAATGGCTGATTCTAGGTCTAGAGCACCTTGTGCTAAAAAGTAAGGATGTGCTCAAAAACACAATGATGGAAGTATGTCAAAGGGACAATGTAGCCAAAGTAAGAACAATCTGAGTAACAAATAAAGTACTACTGGATTATAACACAAAGTATAAAATAGGTATGCATGAGCCCATACCAATAGGAATAAATGATTCAATAAATAAATGGAGGAGAAGAGGCAAATCTCCCATGCAGAAGAATTATAAGCATTTATGTAAGTGGAGCATAACTCCCACTCCTTTTTATTTTAGATGTTATTTTTTTATTTTAAAAAATTTTATTTATTTTTGAGAGAGAGACACACACAGAGTGTGAGTGGGGGAGGGGCAGAGAGAAGGGGAGACACAGAATCTGAAGTAGGCTCCAGGATCTGAGCTGTCAGCACAGAGTCTGACTCAGGGCTGGAACTCACGAACTGCGAGATCACAACCTGAGAGGAAGTCAGATGCTTAACCGACTGAGCCACCTAATAAAATAAATATTTATTTATTTATTTTGGGGGGGGGAGAACAAGTTGGGGGCGGGGCAGAGAGGGATGGAGACACAGATTCTGAAGCAGGCTACCCAGGTGCCCCTATTTATTTATTTTTGAGAGAGAGAGAAAGAGAGAGAGAGAGAGAGAGAGAGAGAGAGAGAACAAGTGGGAGGGGGCAGACAGAGAGGGAGACACAGATTCTGAAGCAGGCTCCAGGCTTCAAGCTATTAGCACAGAGCCTATGTAGGGCTCAAACCCACAAACTGTGAGATCAAGACCTGAGCTGAAGTTGGATGCTTAGCTAACAGGGCCACCCACTCCTTAAGTGTAGGCTGTGTATAGTGACTTCCAGAAAGCACAGTATGGAAAAAGGGGAGAGAGAATAACTTTGCAGAAGAGCGACCTGACAAACATGATCTCAGCCAGATGATCAAGATTAACACCTATAGTGATAATTCATGTTGATAGCATGTACCCTCAGGATGATGTGATGAGAATGACATTTAACTCTATGGTCTTCCTCCCTGAAGCCTATACCCCCAGTCTAGGCATGCGAAAACATCAGACAAATCTTAGTTTAGGGACATTCTACAAAATACCTGGCCAGTACTCCTCAAAAACTGTCAAGGTCATCAAAAACAAGGTAAGTCTGAGAAACTGTTACAGCCAAGAAGAGCCTAAGGAGACATGCCGACTAAATGTCAGGCTGGCCTCAGATGCACTTGCTGTTCCTGGGGCAGAATGCTAAGGTGGAATGGAGGCGCCGCAGGCATGGAATCCAGAGCTCAGGGGAGCGTCTGCACGAGTGCAGTTGTGGCTCCCACCAACTTTCCTGACTCTCTGTGACTTCACAGGCCAAATATTCTTGACAGTGCCACCCAGATAAAACTCCAGGCTGTGTTTGCAACCATGATTAAAAACGTAGGTCCTGGAAACAGAACTGAATTGGCATTCTACTCTACCGTTTGTTATTTCGAGAGGATTGCTAAGCTTCTCTGTGCCTCTTTTCTCATGAACCTTAAAATAAGAACTATAATTGTAACCACTATCATCATATTGTTTGTGAGGAATACGTAAGATAAGGTATGTAGGGTGCTTGGCTTAGTACTTGGCACTTAGTTCTCCATAAATGTTAGCCTTTACTGTTGTGCTTTGTAGGATTCATTTAGTATACATTTTTCCCTGACAGAATTTAAGAGAATTGTTGACCACGTATTGGCAAATGGAAAAGACAAAAGGGGGTGTTGGGTTATCACAGAGGTACTCATTACAGGCAAGAGTTACCACAGTATACTGGAGAATCTGGAGAAATCAAAGGAAAGAATTTGAGGGGTGTGTGTGTGTGTGTGTGGTGTTTTTTTAAAAAACATAGCTTTATTGGGGACAATTTACATACCATAAAATTCATCGATTGGAAGTGTATGTAATGCTTCTATGACGTTTCACTAAATATATACAACTGTGCAATCATCATCACAATCGTTTCTGGAACATTTCTATCACCCCTCAAATTCTCTCACGTCTCAGGTAACTAATTTCTGCCTCGTAGATTTGTTTACTGTTAAGTTTTGAAAAAATCAGTAGTAAAAGGAGGTCATGGAAAACATTCTCATTAGGAACAGACTCGACTCAATTCCTTCCTTCCTTCCCTCCCTCCCTCTCTCCCTCCTTCCTTCCTTTGTAAGTTCTTCAACCTACATGGGGCTTGAACTCACCGCGGAGATCAAGAGTCGCATACTGTACACACTGAGCCAGCCAGGTGCCACCAGACTTAACATTTTAAAATGATCACAAGTTGTTTAAAAGTTGCTTACACTTTTAGCTATCATGAAACTCGTCATAAAGCAAAATACAAATTGCAAAGTGGAGTGGGTAGGAGGCTCCGGTCACGGGCGGCTACTGCTGGGCTGGTGGTTCTGGAGCGGGTGTGGCGCCAGAAATGCAGCTCCAGGGCGACCCCGCCCCACCTGGGGCTAGACAGCCTCGCACCTGCGCCCTCCTCGCCCTCCTCGTTCCTGCGCAGGCGCAGTGACTCGAGCTTGCTGGCTGGGCGGGCGGGGCGCTGAGCCCCGGCGGGTGTTCGCATCGATCACGAGCGCGTAGCGATTGCTTCTGTCTGTTGTTTAGGTATGGCGCCGGCGACGAAGCTGAGAGGCGGCGGGAACCCGGGTGGGAGTCTCGCTCTGTGCTGACCGCGACCCCGGGGTCGAGTGGGCTATGGGGGAGCCCGGCTCGTTGGTCACAGGAGACCGCGCCGGTGGCCGGAGTTGGTGCTTGCGGCGAGTGGGCATGAACGCTGAGTGGCTGCTGCTGGAGGACGGAAGCGAGGTGAGAGGAAGGGGTCCTTGGGATAGCGAAGGAGGTTGAGGAAGGAGGGCCGGGAGGGAGCCGGGGCGTCCGGTGGGAGAGACGAATGGAAAAGAGGAGTTGGGAGCAGGCTAGAGGGGAGGGGTATGAGGAGGGGCGTCCCGAGGGAGAGGAGAAAGGGGTTGTGGCGCGGGCGGTTGAGGGGCGAGCTGCGAGGTGTTTGGGTGGAGGTAGGAATGCGCCGAAGAAAAGATGGCCCCTTCCGGGGAGGCCGGGGCCTGCGGGGCGGCCTCGGGCTGAAGTCGCTGTTGCCGGGAGGAGCCGGTGGCGGGGCTGGGCGTGAGGTGGGCGTGGAAGGATGTGTGGGCCGACTGGGGGGGCCGGTTCAAGGGGGAAGGAGGTGGCTGGGTTTGGGGAGGGGACTGGGACCGCCCCCGTGTGGATTGCACGGAGCCGTGTCCGGGGAGGCGGGGGGCGGGAGGGTGTGGGCAGCGAGTAAAGCATGAACTTTGTCAAGTTTATGTTGAAAGCGGCCGAGTTATGGGCCACGTCCCTTAAAATGCTTAAACTTTGATGTAACAACGCCTTCCTTTCCATCTCTTGAGGTGAATTGACCCTGTGGGAGGGTCTACAATTATCCTGTGAGTCCCTGTGCTGCGAGTGGTACCCCCTCAGATGGTGGGTGGGTAGGGATTCAGACATCGAAGAGCTGTCCCCTCAGGAGGCCGCTTGTAATGTTTTCTAGTGCGCTCATAAGTGCAAAAAAAGAAAAACAGAAAAGATGAGGCACGCTTCCACGTGGGGGCTTTTGGGGTGCGGTGGTAGAAGAGGGGGCGGAGAGAGTTAGGGTTCCGTCAGCTTGGGCAGGAGAGCTGGATCGGGACCCGCCCGTGATGACAGAATAATTTGTATGAAAGATAAGTCTTCTGACTCTTATGTGTGCTCATTAGTTTTTTTTTTCTATAAGCTATATAGCCTCAGTTCAGTCTCCCAGATATTTATTAGTTATGGGTTTTCGTGTATTATGAGAGGGACAAATAATAGCGACTTTTACCTTAGAGAGTTTATTGCTTGAACGGGGGAACACAGTTTTAAGTCTGTGAAGCGGTCTGAGGACATCCTCCCAGGCTGTCCAATCAACTACCAAGACATGGATTATTTAGTACTCTCCTAGAACCGAGGTTCCTCCAGGCGGAGGAGGGGTTCTGGACCAGCCTTCACTGGCTAGATTAGGAGGTTTTAAAGGGTTACGTGCGTGCTGTGATTTCAGGAACACCAGAAAGACACTTCTGCCCTCAAATCTTTTTCTATCCTGGTATCAGTGCCTAAAGTCCATGTGAGGCATATATTCTTTTAGCTTGAGCGTTGACCTTCCTTCCCCTGCAGGGCTTTTCCTCAAAAGCACTTACCGTTGGGAAGGTTAACAAATGAAGATGTCAACCTGAATAATCGTAGCTACACCTTATTTTGTATTGGGTTTGGGCTTTTACATGTGTTACTTAATGTGAGCCCTGCAAGTGTATCACACTCAGGCACAGCCTTATAAAGCTAGTTAAATGTTAATATTCTTTCTGATTCAGTTTCTGAGGATTAATTCCTTGGTTCTCAATAGCTTGGTAGCACTGGGAATGGGAGTAGGAGCTGGGGGCAGAAATAATTAAAGCTGCTGCAGCAAAAGCAAGAGGAATTGTAAAGTGCACCTACACGTATTTTAAACTACTGGTTAGTTTTCTGTTGGGCCACTTCTTTGGGAAGAGACCCATACAAACCATAGTGGAACGTAAAGGCACAGTGGGAAGACCAGCTTGCTCTAGGGGCGTGCCAGAGACCAGCCATGCCTGGCTGTCTGCAAGGCAGGTGTTAGGAAGTAGTTGGAGCATAGCCTACAGTGTGTGTGAAGAGAAGTCTGAATCTAGGCAAGAGATGAAGTCTGATTTACTGTAGTGGCCCCCAAACCACAGCACAAAGTGGTGTGTGGCATGCACAAGATTTAAGTGTGCTGATAGCATTTCGTTATAACAGAGGTAGTTTCCTGCCTTACCAGTTCCTCCTGACATCTTCGATATCCCAGAAAAAACAATAAAACAAGATTCCTCTTATTTCACTGAATGGAACACAGTAGTAAATTATCTGACTGGGTGTCCTTAAACTTCTTTTTTTTTTAAAGAGGCCTTTTGTTTGCTTTTGTTTTTTAATGTTTATTTACTTATTTTGAGAGAGAGAGAGAGAGAGAGAGAGAGAGAATCCTAAGCAGGCTCTGAGCTGTCAGTGCAGAGCCAGGTGCAGGGGGTGATCTCACGAACCAGGAGATCATGACCTGAGCAGAAATCAAAAGAGTCAGAAGCTTGTAATTATCAAGACAGTATGGTATTGGCACAAAAACAGACACATAGACCAATGGAATGGAATAGAGAACTCAGATTTGGACCCAAAAATGTACAACCAACTAATCTTTGACAAAGCAGGAAAGAGTATCCAATGGGAAAAAGACAGCCTCTTTAACAGATGGTGCTGGGAGAGCTAGACAGCAACATGCAGAAGAATGAAACTAGATCATTTTCTCACACCATACACAATAATAAACTCAAAATGGATAAAGGACCTGAATGTGAGACAGGAAACCGTCAAAACCCTAGAGGAGAAAGCAGGAAACAACCTCCTTGACCTCATCTGCAGCAATTTCTTACTTGACACATCCCCAAAGACAAGGGAATCAAGAGCAAAAATGAACTATTGGGACCTTATCAAGATTAAAAGCTTCTGCACGGCGAAGGAAACAATCAATAAAACTAATAGGCAACCGACAGAATGGGAAAAGATAGTTGCAAATGACATATCAGATAAAGGGCTAGTATCCAAAATCTATAAGGAACTCACCAAACTCCACAGCTGAAAAGCAAACAATCCAGTGAAGAAATGGGCAGAAGATATGAACAGACACTTCTCCAAAGAGGACATCCAGATGGCCAACAGACACAGGAAATGATGCTCAGCGTCCCTCCTCATCAGGGAAATACAAATCAAAACCACACTGAGATACCACCTCACACTGGTCAGAGTGGCTAAAATGAGCAAATCAGAGGACTCTAGATGCTGGTGAGGATGTGGAAAAATGGGCGCCCTCCTACACTGTTGGTGGGAATGTAAACTGGTTCAGCCCCCCTGGAAAAGAGTGTGGAAATTCCTCAAAAAATTAATAGTAGGACTCCCCTATGACCCAGCAATAGCACTGCTAGGAATTTACCCAAGGGATACAAGAGTGCTGATGCATAGGGGCACATGTACCCCAATGTTCATAGCAGCACTCTCAACAATAGCCAAAATATGTCCATCAACTGTTGAATAGATCAAGAAGATGTGGTTTATCTATACCATGGAATACTACATGGCAATGAGAAAGAATGAAATCTGGCCATGTGTAGCAACATGGATGGACCTTGAGGGTGTTATGCTGAGCGAAATAAGTCAGGCAGAGAAGGACATATACCATATGTTTGCACGTATAGGAGGATTAGGAGGAACTTAACAGAGGACCATGGGGAGAAGAATGGGAAAAATACTGGGGGAGAGGGAGGGAGGCAAACCATGAGAGACTCTTTAATGCCAAGAACAAACTGAGGGCAGAATGGGGTGGGGAAGGGGGGTGATGGGCATGGAGGAGGGCCCTTGTGGGGATGAGCACTAGCTGTTATATGGAAACCAACTTGACAATAAACTATTAAAAAAAAAAAGTCGGAAGCTTAACTGACTGAGCCACCCAGGTGCCCCTGTTTTTGTTTTTTAAAGCAATCTCTGTACCTAACATGGGGCTCAAACTCAGGACCCCGAGATCAAGAGTTGCATGTTCCACCAACTGATCTAGCCAAGCACTGTCCTTAAACTTCCTAAATCAATCCAGAGAGTTTGGTGGAAAAACAAATTAGGTTTTCAGGAAGCTTTTTGGGTTAAGGGGGTTGAACTAAGGGAAAGGATGGTTCTACAGTATTTGCTGGCCATTTGGGAAACAATAGGAGCCATGCCCAGGAGGAATGGGATAGCCTTGAAAGTGGGTAAGGATTGCAAAATTATTGTAAATAGAAACAACCCCAGCATATGTACCAGTGGTTTATTGGCACTCAGTTCCCACGAGAAGTTTACTTTCATCTGCAAATGGTGCTGGAATATCCCTCACACAGACTGTTTTTTTTTTTTTTTTAACTTTTTACATTTATTTATTTTTGAGAGACTACTGTAAGACATATTGTGAGCGGAGGAGGGGCAGAGAGAGAAAGAGACACAGAATCCGAAACAGGCTCCAGGCTCTGAGCTAGCTGTCAGCACAGAGCCTGATGCGGGGCTTGAACCCACGAACCCTGAGATCATGACCTGAGCTGAAGTTGGATGCTCAACCGACTGAGCCCCTCAGGCGCCCCCACACAGTCTCTTTAACAGTGGTGTACAAGGTAAATTCTAGGACCATACAGTAAAGGGAAGGATAAAAAAGAGTGGTTCCTTACGTTCCTGGATTCAGAGTCTGTAGGAGGCTATTTCAAAAAAGTAGCCAGTCACCTCCCTTTTCTGTAATGCTTTACCCAGGCAGTTGTCAATGACAGTCTGGCTGTTCTCCACAAGTATTAAAATGGGCTATGGAATACTTCCTTTATTAGAAATAAAGCTACCTACATGGAAATTCTTACTGAATATGGATAACAGATAAACCTTTAAACGTTTCATTTTTAGAACATTTTTAATTAATGAATTTTTCAAAATAAGCTCCACACCCAGCATGGGGCTTGAACTCATAACCCCGAGATCAAGAGTCACGTGCTCTACTGATTGAGCGGTGCCTAGGTGGCTCAGTTAGTTATGAGTCCGACTCTTGATTTTGGGTCAGGTCATGATCTCATGGTTTGATTGTGAAATCGAGCCCCATGCCTGGATCTGTGTGGTCACCAAGCCTGCTTGGGATTTTCTCTCCCTCTCCCTCTGCCCCTCCCCTACTAACATGTGCTCGTTTTTTATTTGTTTGTTTTTGTTTTTGTTTTCTCTCTCTAAATAAATAAACTTAAAAAAAAAAAAAGTCACATGCTCTACTGATTGAGCCAGCCAGGTGCCCCTAAACATTCCATTTTTGAAGGACATATATGTTAATTCTGAGGAACTCGGATAACAAATGGAATTTATGGCAAAGTGTTCAAAGAACTAAAGAATTTAAGTCAGATTGTAAGAGTTCCTGGCTGCTGCTTCATAGTTTTCAGAGGTAATAACCGAGTTTCCAACTTCTGAGCTAAAAAATGGTCATCCTAGACTCTGGGAGGATGCATAGCTCTTTATTCGTCCAGTCACACTTACTAAGCACTGTCCCAAGTACAGAAACACAGTGGTACACAAGACAGATAAGGTCCCTGCTCATGAAATTTATATTCTAGTAAGGGGGGGGGGGTGGGGAATAAACGGGTAAAGCAAACAAGATAATTTTGGATTGTGACACGTGCATGCTAACACCATGAAAGAATGCAGTGGTCAGGGAGCAGGCAACAACTTTAGGGTAATTGGGGTAGGCCCTTGAGGAGCTGAAACTTGGAAGACAGAAGGAGCCCGTGCAGATGTCTCAGAGAAGAAGTGTTCCAAGTAGAGGGGACTGGTGAAAAGACCCTCAGGCAGTGGTGAGTGTTTCTGTCTGGTATGAGGTAAGACTAAAGAGGTGGAGGGGTTAGGATATTCAGGCCTTATAGGCTATGGAAGGGAGTATGGATCATGAATGTCGATTGAAAAGAAGGGAGATGATCTGGTTTAAGTTTTTACATGACCACTCCAGCTGCTGTGTGAAGAAGGAAGTTGGTCTGAGTCAGGGAGTGCAGGGCAAGAACAAGAACAGCATTAACTGGTGGAGGCCAGGTTGTTTGGACAAAGGTATTGGGCATAGAGATAGAGCAAAATGAACAGATTTAGAATATATTTGAATTACAACCAGTAGAATTTGCTGATGATTTTAGTGTCAGGATGAGGGACAGAGAAGAATCAAAGATAGCTCCTCAGTTTGCAGATAAGTAGTTGCTCAGATAGTAGTGTCAGTTACTGAGATGAGAGTTTGAGGGGAAGGGTAGATTGGGGCACGGAGAGTTCTGGTGGTCTTTGCAGGACTGAGGAGGACAGGCATGATTCTGAAAGATTTTAAAAAGGAGCAAAGTGAGTAGCTTATACCAAACCACAAACCATTTGGCTTAATGTTCTCAGCTATGGTTGTGGTACAGGTCATTAAAGAGGTGGCTTGTGCACCAAGAAGAATCAGCAGGGGATTCTAAGATCTAAATCTCAGAAGAATTTAATTTGCTTCCTTGACAGGGTTATTATAAACTAGACTAGTCTATCAGAAAAGTGTGATAGATGGGAATTGAGGCTTCTTTGCAACCTTTTCGAGAGGCTCTCATGATGTCCTCTCATGGATAAGATATATCGAAAATATGGACTTGATGCAAAGACTTGGTTGAATTACAACTGGCTAAAGGTATAGCCAGAGTGTGTGGTGTAATGTTTACTAGGCTTTCCTGGGAGCTTTACCTTTGTGGCTACATCCTGTTTCAGTATTTTTATCTGTGCCTTAAATGAATGTAGAGAGGGTCTCATGTCAGTTTGGTGGATGAGTCAAAGCTGGAAGGGATATTGAGTATGTCTGATGGCAGATTAAAAATTCAGAAAGGTCTTGACAAGCTCATGTGATAGGTTGAACTAACAAGATGAAATTTAATAGGAATCAATGTAAGGTCCTGCACTCGAATCCAAATTTACCAACTAGTCAAGTATAGGATAGAAGAGACATGACTTGGCATAGCAATTCTTGGGGGAGGGTTAGGCCAAGAAATTTAATCATTCCTAAGCCTGAGGATACATTGGCAGTGTGGTAGATTGGCTGTGGAAGCTAATGCAATTTATATGCCCCAGTGATAATATCTAGAACTGGGAAACTGATGGCTTGCATTTGACTGTGTTACAAAAACTATTTTTTTAATATGGCATCCAGGAATAAAAATAAACCAGGAGTCTCTTCACAGATCTATTAGGATAGCAAAGAGACTCAGTCGTATGCCATGGGAGTTAGGTTGAAGTAACTGGGAACATGGGGCCAGGAAAAGAGTAGGTAGGTTCTTTATGGCTGTCAAGTGGAAGGAGGATGGGAAATTTTTTTCGTGGCGCTCAGGGCAGAGCCAGGGCCAAAGGATGGAATTTATAGGGAGAAAGTTGCCGAGTCAGGGCTATTAAAAAACTGGAGCAGCTGTCTTGTATAGATGCTGTAGTTCTTGGCAGTGTTTAAAAGTAATTGATGAGAGTGTGTGGAAAGGTTTCCCCCCATCTCATGACCTTTCAGGGTCCTCCCAACCCTGACATTCCATGATTAACTTCATTCAGCTATCTCTTCTTGTCAGAACTTCTTGCTTTTTTTCTACCTGGAAGCTCCCATGGTAACTGAAGGAGACAGCTGATGGGGTTTGGGTTTCACGAGAATCTAGTTTCATAAGTCAGGACACGTGCACATTGCTGGTTGACAAGATTGTAAAGGACCTCCCTGTTCAGCAGAGTGACTCATTATGTCTCTTACATTGTTGTCTTCCTAGGTGACTATAGGGCGAGGATTTGGTGTCACGTACCAACTGGTATCAAAAATCTGCCCTCTGATGATTTCCCGAAACCACTGTGTTTTGAAGCAGAATGTCGAGGGCCAGTGGACAATTATGGACAACAAGGTACAGGAATCTATAGATGCCTAATGACTTACTGAATTTGTGTTTATTTTTAAATTCCTTTTTTTAATTTTTTTTTTTTTTTGCATAAGTAATACATGATACAAAGTTAAAAGGTTCATTCAAAAGTAATATCTTCTCCCCAGCCATGCAGGTGTCTTCCCTAGATACAGTTGTTTCTGTATGCTGCCAGAGGTTAGATTATACCCAAATAATTTCTAAGACTTGAATGAAAGTATGTTACTTTGAAGGGAACACCTGAATTGGGACGGTAGCTCCTGCTCTGGAAACTAGACTAAGTTACTGAGGGAATTGGCCTTTGTGGGTCATAGGCCCAGAGAATATTGGGCCTATGGAAATCTGATGAATATTCTGAAGTACACCTACGGTTCAGAGCACTGGGAGGAGGAGGGAGTTGAGCTGACTGGATTTAGCTCCTTCCCTTCCCTATTCCTTTCAATCACAGCAAACACCTCCCATCCCTTTTTTAATCTGTTTTACATACTGCGTTTTGAGGAAGATCTCCTCTGAATAAATTTGAAAATCATTGGTATGGTGGGAATACTAAGGGAGGTAAAATAGTGTGTAAAGCCCAGCAATTTGGAAGCGCCTAAAGTGCAGATATACAAGCACCCAGAGATACGGTGAAACTAGAGATTGTGCCGTGAGAGAAATTCTAATGTTGATAGCTAAGGAATTAGGAAGTATGAAATGTCTTCAGATGCCATCTTACATTGCTCTGGTTGAAAGGATTGTAAAAACACCTGTTAGAAAGAAGGGTATTCAATGGTCCTGAGACCAATTCTGAGGTGTGTGCATAGTTACCCTCATACTAACAAGCAGTGCTTGGGACACCAGCTTGGCATCCTACTTCCTACTCAACTCAGTTCTGATAGCATCAGATTGCATAGGTTAACCCCTATGCTCCTGACCAACAGCTATAGATTGGAGGCTCCAAGGACCCCTTCCTTGGACTCCAGATGCCAGTCACAAATCCAGGTTGTTTACTTGTACTTCTTACCAGCTGGAACCAATGACTTCCTTCCCCTTTGGATTTGATTAGTTAGCTAGAGTGGGTCATAGAACTCAGGGAAACATTTACTTAAGTTTAGCATTTTATTAAGAAAGGATATGCTAAGGGATTCAGATAAACACCCAGGCAGAAGAGATGTGCAGCGCAAGGTATGCGGGAAAGGGCACAAAGCTTTCATGTCTTATGTGGGTGTTCCAATCCCTCAATACCTCCGTATAGTCCCCAACCCAGAAGCTCTCTGAACCCATCCTTTTGAGTTTTTTGTGGAGGCTCTATTACATGATTGGTTAAATCATTCACCATTGGTGATCAATTCATCGTCCAGTCCTTCTCTATTCCTAGGAAGTTGAAGAGTGGACTGAAAATTTCAACCCTCCAGTTCCTGGGTTGGTTCCCCTAGCCAATTAGACCCCATCCTTAGGTGACCTGGGGCGTCCCAAAGTTCCCTCGTTGCCATAACAAAAGACAACTTTCCGTCTCACCGCTTAGGAAATTCCAAGGGTTTTTAGGAGCTCTGTGCTAGAAACAGGGATAAAGGCCAAATATATATTTCTTATTATAATTCACAGGCTCACAGATATCCTGCAGGCCTACCTCATTTTGCATGCTTAAAACTGCTGGGTTTAAGCTGTTGAGAAAGTACCTCCCTGACTAGGATTAAGTTGAGTTGGCACTGTATTGAAGGAGAGGGTATAAGTGCTAAGTAAATTGGTTTGGCACTCTTGGCCAGGCATTATGAGCAGAATAGAAATTGGCACTGAAAAGGGGGCCTTAGAGATGATCAAGTTTAATCTCTTCTGGGAACAGATGAATCTGAGGCCCAGGGAGATAAATTGACTTGCCTGGGGGCCTTCTAACTGACTGACTGAGGGAGTGAAAGAGCCAGGGCTCGAACTCAAATGAGTCTCTACTGTGTCCTATTGTCAAACACCAGGGAGGTACACAGTGATTTGCTATACATGAATGTCCCCCTTTTGAAAAGTTCACATCATCTATCCTACACTTTGCTTTTACAAGAGACCTACATTGGTACCTGTATTTGCTAACTAAAAGAAATCGGAAGAGGATTTTCACTTTTACAAAAAAAAAAAAAGGCAAAAATAGCGTTAGCATTTGTTTTGCAGAGACCTATCCTAGAGGGCGCCCGCACCAGAGCATTGAGAGTGGCACTGGGAGCTTGTTCCCAGGGAGCTACACTCAGCATCTCAGCTTTAAGATCCTGTAGTTGTGTTTTTTGGTTTTGTTTCGGTTGTGGGTTTTTTTGGTTTTTTTTTTTTTTTTTAGTTTATTTTGAGAGAGAACTTGTGCATGAACGGAGGAGGGGCAGAGAGAGAGAGAATCCCAGGCAGACTGTGCTGTCAGCGCAGAGGCCGATACAGGGCTCATTCCCACAAACCTCGACATCCTGACCTGAGCTGAAACCAAGAGTCAGGCACTTAACCGACTGAGCCACCCAGACGCCCAGGGTTCCATAGTTTTGAACTGTGTCTGTGAGTATCGATGCTTTCATCTTGATTTATTTTGTGTATCCGTTAGTAGGTGATGTCCTAAGGTATCAGAAAAGCCTAAAAGAGGCTGTATTTTGGGTCTGAGAACAATAAAAATATTTTTCCATATAAGTTAATGGTAGTTGCAGCTTTGCACCATTAACTTATGAAGAAAAGCTTCATGGAACACTCTCCTTTTGGATGGCAGGGGAAACCTGTATTGGATGCATGATTTAAAAAATTAATTATGCATATCTAAGTCATAGGTGTAAGGTTTTAAAGCCCCTGCAATAGCTTATACCAAACCACCATAGGGAAAGACGTTTTCCTTGTGAGAGTTGGCTATCTGAGAAATGGGATTACAGTATTAAGAGGTGAGTTCTTTAGTGCTTCTCTCCTTGATGATGTGCGGTATGGATATACTCCATTTATGGGATAGCAAATTTTGAAAGGTTAGGAAGCTACCAGCTGACTGATTTTAGTGTTCCTTGAACATCAGCCTCAGGGTCAGAGGCGGCCGTGCCAGTAACAGGTCATGACTGTGCTTCTGGGACGCTCTCCGGTGTTTGCTGTGTACGCTTTCTTCTAGGGCTATTGTTACCATGAGATTCCTCTCTGAGGTCTCAGACAGAGGATACAGAGGAAAGGTAGGCTCCTGGTTCTTTCACGTCTTTTCTGGTTTAAGCCTCTTAGCTTTGATTCCATTTGTGAGGTAACGGATTTTTAAGAGAAGTTGTGTGAGTCAAGTGTTTTTTGATGGAGCAACTACTCTTACAGGTAGAAAGCACTCCCCCCACCTTTTTTTCCTTAACCAGATGCTCCTTTTCTTTGTGGCTTTTTTCTGGCACGATGCCTTGGCAGTCTTCTTCTTCCGATGAAGGATTTGAATTTTGCGTGCAGTATATTATTGTTATGGTCATATTTGAAGTCATTTGCCAAGTCTTTTCAAGAGGTAGATACTTCTAAGAATTCAAAACTCAGAACTATATTCTCTCTTCATTAAATGGTCCCTCTTATATGCTGGAATGGCTGGACAGTGAAAGCTTAAGTACAGATACAAAAATTGCAACAAATGCAATTTTAGTTTAAATTGGCTTAAAAAAGAAAAACCTTGAAGGACTGCTGACTGTGCACACAAAATGTTGTAGTTGTGTGCATTTCAGTTGAAAAGCTCTTCAGATGGCTCACTGTAGGTATTCATATCCAGCTCTTTCAGAAAATTGGTTGTTTGAGGGTCGGTCTGAAATGCCTTGGTGGGTTTGCTTGCCTTCAGTCCTAGAGACGTGGGCGTGGAGTTTGAACCTTTCTCCTCCTATGTTGTTATGCATCTGCTCCCTGGTGAGTCCCACCTTTATGCTTCTGTAGACTGTAGACTCTGGCATTTGATGTCTCTGGTGAATTATACTGTCTGTGAACATACCTTGTTGCTCGGGACAGTTCAGCTTCTGGTCTTCTAGCAGCTAGAGCAGTGATTGTCAACCCCATTTCCACCTGGGGTGCTTTTTAAAAATACTGGTAGTATCACATTAAAATTGAGAATTTCTATTCATCAAAAGACATCATTAAGAAAGTGAAAGGCAACTCAGAGTGGAAGATATTTACTGCACATAACAAATGAAGGACTTTATATTTGAATATATACAGAACTTCAAATCAATAAGAAAAAGAAAGATAACCCAGTTTTAAAAATGGGCAAGAAAATCATGGAAGGAGCCTAAGTATCCATCAACTGATGAATGGATCAAGAAGATGTGGTTTATCTCTACATTGGAATACTACATGGCAATGAGAAAGAATGAAATCTGGCCATGTGTAGCAACGTGGATGGAACAGAGGACCATGGGGAGAAGAACGGGAAAAATAGTGGGGGAGAGGGAGGGAGGCAAACCATGAGAGACTCTTTAATGCCGAGAACAAACTGAGGGCAGAATGGGGTGGGGAAGGGGGTGATGGGCATGGAGGGGGGCACTTTGTGGGGATGAGCACTGGGTGTTATATGGAAACCAACTTGACAATAAACTATAAAAATAAATAAATAAAAATGGGCAAGAGTCAGACACTTCACAAAAGATTATATCTAACTGTTCAGTGTCCATGAGAAGTTATTCAGCTTCATTAATGATCAGGGAAATGCAAATTAAAAACACAGTGGAAATACCACTACATACCCACCAGAGTAGCTAAAATTAAGTACTGATGATGCCAGGTATTGGTAAGTAGTCAAGTAGTCTTTTGGTAGAAGTATAGATCGGCACAACCAATTTGGAAAATTATTTGGTATTATTTATTAAAGTTGCACATATATATATATATACACACCTCATGACAATATTTTAATTCCCAAGGAAACAATCCAAATGTTCATCAACAGTAGAATCTTAAAATGAAACCCTGTATCCAGCAGCATGGGTAAATCTCACAAACAATATTGAGCGAAAGAAGACAGACACAAAAGAATACATATTATATGATGCCATTTATATAATTGTCAAAACCAGTCAAAACTAATATGTGATGTTAAGCCAGGCTTACAGTCCCCTTATGGAGGGGGAGGGGTTAGTGACTAGAAGGAAGCCCAGGGGATCTTCGGATGCCGAGAATGTATAATTTTTTTTTAACCTTGTGGTAGTTACACCGAGATGTTCACTTTGTGATTATTCATCTTGTTATACATTTATGACTTGTGCACTTTTATGTTTGTATGTTATATTTTAATAAAGAATTTCTAATGCCAAGCGCTGGTGAGGATGCAGAGTAACTGAAACTCTTAACCATTGCAAGTGAGAACACAGAATGATTCCACCACCTTGAAAAACAGTTTGGCAGCTTCTTCCAGTTAAACAGGCGCTTATCCAACATTCCTGTCCCTGTCCCAATTTAATGAAAACTTATGTTCTTACAGAATCTTGTATGTGAATGTTCTGGTGGCTTTATTCATAGTCACCAGAAACTGGGAGAAACACCTAGGGACTGGGTAAGCAAACTGATAAATCCATGACCTAGGATATTATTCAGTTATAAAAATACCAAACTACTGTTAATGAAACAAAGTAGATAAATCTTTTTTTAAATGTTTTATTTATTTCTGAGAGAGAGAGAGAGAGAGAGAGCACGAGCAGGGGAAGGTCAGAGAGAGAGGGAGACACAGAATATGAAGCAGGCTCCAGGCTCTGAGCTAGGTATCAGCATAGACCTGACGCGGGGCTCAAACCCATGAACTGCAAGATCATGACCTGAGCCGAAGTCGGACGCTCAACCGACTGAGCCACCCAGGCGCCCCACAAAGTAGATAAATCTTAAAGTCATCATGCTAGATGAAAGAAGCCACACTCAAAAGGTTACATACTGGTGTGATTCCATTTATACAACATTCTGGAAAAGGCAAACCCATGGAGGGCAGAGAATAGATGAGTAGTTGCCTGGAAATGAGGGAAGGGTCGACTGCAAAGGGGCACTGTGTCTTGATACAAATTGCATACTCTGTGTTTGTATATAAAGTTGATTTTAAAAATCCTGATGCCTAGTCCTCATCTTAGACCATTTAAGCCAGTCACTATTTCTTTTAAACATTTCCAGGTGATTTCACTATACATCAGGGTTGAGAACCACTGGGCTACATAAATCATTTGATGAACTGCATGAAAGCATTGCCTGTTGGCTTTGGGTTTCCACTCAAATGCATTAAAAGTGCTGGACAGATGGGGCGCCTGGGTGGCTCAGTCAGTTGAGCTGACTGCTCAGAGCCTGGAGCTTGCTTCGGATTCTGTGTCTCCCTCTATCTCTGCCCCTCCCCTCCTTGCACTCTGTCTCTCAAAAATAAAAAATAAACATAAAAAAAATTTTTTTTAAGTGCTGGACAGAGATTGAGCATCAGGTGAAGTAATTGATGTTTAAGAGGGTGCAGGTGATCCCACCTTTGATGGCTAAGAGTCATTGGGCAGGCTTTTCTTTGGTTATCACTTTGTGCTGCTGACAGTGCTCAAACTGGTGATTGTGAAAACTATGTAGAAAGGCTTGGGGGTGCCTGGGTGGTTCGGTTGGTTAAGTGTTCAACTTTGGCTCAGATCATGATTTCACTGTTTATGGGCTCGAGCCCCACATTGGGCTCTGTGCTGACAGATGAGAGTCTGGAGCCTGCTTCAGATTCAGTGTCTCCTCTCTCTGCTTCTCCTCTTTTCGTGCTCTGTCACTCTCAAAAATAAATAAACATTTCTTTAAAAACAAGAAAGAAAGGCGTAAACACATTTTGATATATATATATATCTCAAATACATATTTTATCAAAAATAAATAAACATTTCTTTAAAAACAAGAAAGAAAGGCGTAAACACATTTTGATATATATATATATCTCAAATACATATTTTATCAAAAATAAATAAACATTTCTTTAAAAACAAGAAAGAAAGGCGTAAACACATTTTGATATATATATATATATCAAATACATATATATATATATGTATTTAATGTTTGTTCTTAAGAGAGGGGTAGAGTGCGAGTGGAGGAGGGGCAGAGAGAGAGGGAGACAGAGTCTGAAGCAGACTCCAGGCTCTGAGCTGTCAGCACAGAGCCCGATGTGGGGCTTGAACTCACAAACCAGGAGATCATGACCTGAGCTGAAGTTGGATGCTCAACCGACAGCTACCCAAGCGCCCCCAGTTTGACTTACTTAAACCGTTACATTTGAGATCATATCCTGGGCAGTACTTGATTGTTCTTATACAGTCATGGTATTTTCATCCTTTTCTACAGTCACCCTGTGAACAGACCTGACTTGGGTCTGTGTTCCAAAGTATACCACTAGATGTCACCAAGGAGTGATGAATGGATATACAGAGGGATCCAGGGATAAAAAGTGATGGGAAAATTTTGAGAGTTTATTTTCCAGATCTAAAGGGCTCTGAAGGAAGCAGGTTACTGCAGAGGTTCCAGTGGAGGGTTGCAATATGTCTTGAAAGTTTGCCCTAGCTTTTTAGGGTTTTGTTCATTCTAGTCTTAGGCTGCTTCTGTAACCTTCTTTATTTATTTAACCTTCTCTTTGTCTTTGAGATTCTTCTTAAATGTCTATACCTTGGCAGTAGGTGGCCTCCTATGTCATATTACTTTCCCTGAAACCTTTTTCCTATGTATAATCTATAATTAACTATTCTGCTACAGTACTATTCTCAAATACATTCTTTTAGCCTCCCTCCCCATCCTTTTTATTCTTGCATAAGTTGTTTCAGAAATCAGCAGAACTGATCACTCTCCATAATTTCTCAGGTTGAATATGAGTAGAAAAGTTGGGAGAAGGTTGGTCAGATCAGCCAGGTTAGGGCCAAGACAGTGAGTTAAGGCCAGTCTTTCTGTATGTATCTATGCTCATCTTTCTCTCCCTCTCCCCAGTCTGGCCAGAAACAGGGGCCTAAAACCAACCTAGAGCTGAGATCCAATCTCTGTTCTTCATCTTCTGTGCCTTGTGGTCAAGCCCCTCATGCTTCATATATGGGTTGACCAAGGTTATTTTTTCTAGCTGTGAGGAGGTAGCTGTAGTTATAAACACGAACATAGTCTTAGTCCCAGTTCAGATCTGACCTTCATCTCTGGCCTGTATCCCAAAGGTGAGTTTTTAATATGGGTTAAATTTTCCACTTGTCCCTTTCCTTCTCTTCCCTCCCTTTCTCTCCCTTTCTCTTTCCTCCTTCCTTCCTTCCTTCCTTCCTTCCTTCCTTCCTAATATGAGTTAAAACGTCTACTTGTCTCTTTTCTTTTCCTTCCTTCCTCCATCCCTCCCTCCCTCCCAGTTCATTTATTTAAGTGATCTCAACCCCCCAGTGTAGGGCTTGAACTCATGGCCCCGAGATCAAGAGTCGAATGCTCTTCTGACCAAGCCAGCTAGGCACACTCCCACTTGTCTCTTTAAACTTTAAATCCTACATTTGTTTCAAGTCTGTTTTAGAATGCATCATCCCTGTTTAGCATCTCTTCTCTAGCCCGGCTCTATATGATACTCCTTTGCATTTATAGGCTGTGCGGTGTAATCCCACATTTACTTATGTGTGCCCTCGTATTTTCCTTTCCATAGTCAGCTGCTGAAAGTTGTTCTCATATCTTCTGCTTTTGTGCTCAGTATATTTACCTTGCAAGATACTGAGCATAGAATTGAAATAACTGTTGATAAGTCCATTGAGCCAGAACATAATAATAGTAGTGAACACTTATATAATACTTGCCATGTGCCAGGCACTTTTCTAAGTACATTACATATGTCATCTCATTAAATCCACACAGACTCCATGAGGGAGAGACTATTATTATCCTCCATTTTATAGATGTGTAACTGCAGCATGGAGAGGTTAAGAAAGTTACCCAAAGTTACACAGCTATTAAGTGATGGAGACAGATTATAAATCCAGACAGTCTGACTCCAGACTCCAGGTCCATGCTCTTAACCCCTGCACTATGGCCTAATTTAAATCATTAAAGTAAATATTTCTTGAGCAATATATTGAGTGTTATATTTATAACACTGTGCTTAGTGTTTTACATGTATTATTTCATTCTTGGCAGAACAGTGAAGGAGTCAGGAACTGTACTATTCCTATTTTACAGACAAAACTGAGACATAGAGGTTAGGTAAATCACTGAAGGCCATGCAACTAATAAACCCAAGGTGGTGGGTGCATTGGGGCTATGAACTCAAGTCTGTCTGAGCCAAAGCTCCAGCTCTTAACCACTCTGACGTATTACCCAGTGGACCTTTGGTGCTGTTAATTGGGTCAGATCCCACTTGCAGGTTGACCCCAGTACAAGGTATCGATACACTCTTTTTAGGTTTATGTGTGTGTGCTGGGAAGTGCTTTGCTCATTCACCAATGTGTTCAGGGGCCACATTCAGAGACAGTGCTTGTGTGACTTTCCTGGCTAAGCCTATCTTTTGAACCTCATCATGAGATACTGCTTCCTTCGCTAATAGCCGTTTTTCCAGTCTTGGGCCACTGCCCCCAGTTTAGGTCAATAGGAGCTATTCAGTTGCAGTTTCTTTTAATGCTGCTGCATTTATTTGAGTAATTCATCTGCCAGTAATAAGGTAATTCCTGCCCGTTACACAGACAGTTCTCTGTGGAGGCATGAATGTGAAATAGGTAAAAAGCCAAAGCTATTTGAAGAATGCTGTTTCTAAGGGTGGTGGTTTATCAGCCTTTTCTCTGTTCTCAGGGGTTTTCCTTCTGAAATGGCAGAAGGTTTTGTAGCAGCAAGAGAAATGTTCCATTAAGAGGAGGAAAATCATGGAGCTTATTTTGTCTTTCTTTCCCTTTCTTCAGAGTCTCAATGGCGTTTGGCTGAACAGACAACGCCTGGAGCCTTTTAAGTTCTGTTCTATCCATAAGGGAGACCACATTCAGCTTGGGGTACCTCTGGAAAATAAGGAGAATGCAGAGTATGAATATGAAGTTACTGAAGAAGACTGGGAGAGGATGTATCCTTGTCTTGCTCCAAAGAACGACCAGATGATAGGAAAACATAAGGGATTGAGAACTAAAAGGAAATTGAGTTTGGAAGAATTAGAGGGTCCTGGAGCTGAAGGCCCCTCAAATTTGAAATCCAAAATAAGTAAAGTATCTTGTGAATCTGGTCAACCAGTGAAGTCTCATGGGAAAGATGAAGTGGCCATTCAACCCAGTCAACTCTCTGAACATTTGGATCCCAAGTTGACTTCTCTTGAGCCAAGTGAGAAGGCCACAGAGGCTCTTGTTTACCCTGGCTCCACAAAAGTCATAGAACTTCATCATAAGAAGCAGAAAGCCTCAAGCCCTTTAGCATCTCATAGCAGCTTAGAACTGTTCAAGGTGACTATGTCCAGGATTCTGAAGCTGAAAACACAAATGCAGGAAAAACAGGTAGCTGTACTGAAGGTGAAAAAACAGACCCAGAAAGGGAACTCAAAGAAAATCGTGAAGATGGAGCAGGAGCTGCAGGACTTACAGTCCCAGCTGTGTGCAGAGCAGGCCCAGCAACAGGCCAGAGTGGAGCAGCTAGAGAAGACTTTCCAGGAAGAGGAACAGCATCTCCAGGTACCACACAGGAGGGAAGGATACCAGAGCTTCTCAGGGGTGGGTAGGCCTCTGGTGAGCCTCTGGCCACACTCTCTGTTTCTGGGTCAGGGACCACATGCTGAGTGCCAGGGACGGGAGATTGAATGGGAGCAGACTTTGAAATGGGAGAAGGGAGTTGAGTATAGGGTTAAGGCTTCAGCATGATGATCAGGAGCCAGAGTTTGGGTGCTGTGTTGGCTGAAGGTGCCTGGGAGAGCCAGCCAGGATGTGACTGATCTCAGGATATAAAGCTGAGGCACCTGAGAACTGAGGCAGATTCAGAGAGGGGTTGGAAGAAGGTCAGGATGCCACAGAACCGTACACTCTAATTAGACCAGTAGTTGTCCTTATGAATGATCTTTCTTTGGTGTGTCAAAGCCAAACCAGTTAGACTCAAGGCAGCTATGAGTCAGGTGGTTACTCTGCCCTTGTTGTACCTGGCAACTTACTAGCTCTGATGGTTAGTTAATTCTGTAGCTGCCTAGGAAGTGGGAGCCTAGAAAGGCATAAAATGGTTTTGTTTCTATCCTGAACAACTCGCATCACAAGTATACTGTGACTCGATTGTTGGGTTGCGTGGTAAGCCACCTTCCACAGTGCCTTTTAGGGGGAGGCAGATTCTTGACTGTCTTCTCAACAATAGCTAAAACATGGAAAGAGCCTAAGTGTCCATCAACGGACAAATGGATCAAGAAGATGTGGTTTATCTATGCCATGGAATACTACATGGCAATTAGAAAGATTGAAGTCTGGCCATGTGTAGCAACATGGATGGACCTTGAGGGTGTTATGCTGAGCGAAATAAGTCAGGCAGAGAAGGACAAATATCATATGTTTGCACGTATAGGAGGATTAGGAGGAACTTAACTGAGGAACAAGGGGGAGAAGAAGGGGAAATGGTAGGGGAAAGGGAGAGAGGCAAACCATGAGAGACTTGAATGCTGACAAAAACTGAGGACTGATGGATATGGGGGGGCGGGGGGGATGGGCATGGAGGAGGGCACTTGTGGGGATGAGCACTGGGTGTTATGTGGAAACTAATTTGACAATAAACTATTTGTAAAAAAAAAAAAAAAAGTGTCTTAGCTGTGTCAGGGTAAGATCAAATGTGTCCCCATCCCTGAGTCATTTGCTTAGGTGACAAGCTCTTGCACAAAGCTTCTCGGCTAGAGCTGATTCTGGTCCTGCTCAAAATGTCAGTTCCCAACTGGCAAGAACGTATATTTTACTCCCATCTACTTGCTCAGGTAATATTGAATGTCAAGAATTCCCCATTGTTGACTTAGAAATAAAAAGGACCAATCAGGATTGAAGTAAATACGCTCTTCTGTTTTGTTTACTTTGCTCAGGGCGAGGAACAACCAGTAATGTTGGCTTACTTTGGAACAGTTTAAAAATTTCATTCTAATCTCTGCTGTCTGCTTGAACTGGTGGCATTGGCAAAGACCATGGATTAAATAGGTCTTTCTAAGGATAATCATTGCTTGTTTATGTGTACCTTTTTGCTTCCCTTATCCAGCCTGGACTAGTTCTTGAAGCTAATAGAGGGAGGTTTATCTCTACATATTTAGTGTATGACACCTTCATCAGAGCAGAAGCCTCTCTAAAGGCTAATGTGTTCAAGAACAAGAGTTATTAATTAATATTCGTGGCTGCTCTAGGCATGCTTCAGGATATAGTTATAAAATCTTTTTCTGTATCAGTATGGTAGAGAAAGGCAAAAAGGACTGGCTTAGAGAATTTCTTTGTGTATTAGAGGGTTATATATAAATGGCTCATGGTGAAATGTATGTATCTAGTCCTTTGTTTATTAGCTACATTTCCCTTTGCCACCAATCCCTAGGGATTTACTCTACTACTTCACACAGACTTTTTTTTAGCACTTACAGTGTCAGTATACTTAGAGTTCAGGTGGTTATGAAGATGTTTAATAAATGGTTCTTGCCATTAGGAAATATAATAATCAAAACAGTTTTAAGTCAATATATTTCAATGAGAGAACAATTTCCAGTTGACATATTAAATGCATAGGCAAGTCTTAAAGAGGGAAAAGCCCAGAGGTTCTTATAGAAGGTGCTGAATGTAGAGCACTGATGATGTGGAAGGCATCCACATCACGGGGCTGATGGAGAAAACAGCATAAGCTCAAGCAAAGAGGAGAAGCAGTTTATGGTCTAGAAGTTAGAGAGACTCACACTAAGAGACAGGGTGGCCAGAACTGAGGGAAGAAACGTGGAACTTGTGAGTGTCAACCTGGGGAATTATATCCTGAGTTTAGCTATTTGGTGGCTTAGAATCTCTCAGTTTACATCTTTCTGGGAGTCATGACATTAGCCAGTGAAGGAGGCTTGGAGTATTACCTCAGGGTTTCTCTCCAGAACAACCTGAGTGGCAGCTTGAAAGTGACAGCCCTGAGGTGCGCAGTGCTTGAGCAGTTAACTCTGCTCAGATCCCTTACTGCCAACAGCCTGAAGTAAAACGGGAGGTTTTCCACCTGCTCCCTGCCCCCTGTTGTTTCCAGATGCTCTCACGAGCCAGTCTGCTCTGCTTGTTGCTAGATTTTGTTTCTTCCCTCCCTCCCTGCAGGGAAACCTTCCATTTTGTTTTTGGCTTTACAGGGTTTGGAGAAGGAACAAGGAGAAGAGGACCTGAAGCAACAGCTGGCCCAGGCTCTACAGGAGGTAATTTACCTCTCTCCACTGTACCGAGATTATAGTGGGCTGGGGAGTGCGGGGCAGCCAGACTTCACATGGCCACTGGCTGCCTCTTCTGCTTAGCACACGCCTCTGTGGCATCTCCAGTCTGTAGACAGCAGCTGCTCACACCATCAGGTTGGAGATTTGGCCTCACAGACGTGCCAGACCTCAGCATGAAAACGTACGTCTTCATCTGAGCAGAAGTTGCTCTAGTGAAGATGGAACTGAGCCTGTAGCAATTAGGAGGCTCTCTAGGGAAGTGACTGCACTTCCAGAAAAGTGAGGGCAGCAGAGGGGAGTTTCAAGCTATGACTTGGCCACCAGGTCCTACAAGGGCCTTTATTACCTCACCGTTCCTGAGCTGAAGCCATCCAGAAACCAATCAAGAATGTTCCAATTAAGCGTTTTAGGTCAGGTTGAGAATGCAGTTTAACAGTCAGCAGAACATATCGATTTACTGAAAGGGCAAGGCTCACAGGAATAAAATTCCCCCGAAAGATGGCCTGTAATTCATTTCATGTAACTTGACTATCATCTGATTATTTTTTTACAAGCTCTTTTGCGTCTTTTAAACCCACTTTATCTTCTAAACTTTATGTGTTTATGATTAGTAGTTTAATGCAAGTTTCGTCGGGAGGTTAGTGGGATGGTTCAAATTTCCTTGAGCAATTGCATTAGAATTTGTTTAGGAGAATTTATCCTTATGTTCTTTTATTGCATATCTACTTCACAACCATCTTAGAGTGCTAATAGTCCTGTATCATTGTGATCTTTGTGAGGATGTCTGCCTTGATTTCCTTGAGGGGTGCACAAACAACCTTGAAAAGAATTAGGTGAAAATTTATTCAGTCTTTTTGAATTTTATTTTCTAAGCTTGTTTATTTTCTAGGGTGGGAAGGTAGGCATATTCCCTATTTAGAGCTTTATTAAATTGTATTGAGATAGCGTTTTAAAATTGGCTGGAAAAGAGTAAGGTTCTGCTACTTGGAAATCTCCAAGCAATCATTGAGTACCTTGTATACAACTCCTCACCTTTCCCGAGAGACAGGAAAACACTTAGCATGAGGTACTTGGCCAGTCTCCATTCATTAGCCTAAAATGGGAAACTTTTAGGTCATGGTTTATAACAACATGCCTGGGGACATAGCACTTTCTCAACTATAACAAACAGTGGTTGTTTCTTGGTCCACCTTGATGGTCCCTCTGTAGCAATTCTTTTTTACTTACTAGGCAATTTAAAAACATTTTCTGAATGCTTGCTTATCTGTTATTTTCTTATCAATACTGATGTAGGAGGGGGCACCTCTTTTCCCATTTTATAGATGAGAAAGTTAGGCACATACATCTAATCAGTGGTCAGGATGAATACCCAGGCCATCTGATATAACTGCTTGTTTTGGAAGACCACGCATTTTAAAATTTGTTTCTTGAGTAATATCTTTTCAGAAACTCTTACCTTTATTTCACCTTCTTTAAAAAAGGATTTGACGTGAGATTTAAAGTGTAAGCTATACTTAAGCGTGAGGGTGCTCAGGAATTTTCATAGATGTGGAATCTTTTGACATTGAGTGTAGGCAGTAAGTCACAATAAATAGACTATTCGTTCCTGGGTGTGCCAGCTTCCACAAGACACAGGGTTCAGGCAGCACTGCCTCACAGGTGTGAGGTATGTGATTTGTGGAATAAATAAGTTAAGATCTTTTTTATTTCAATGAAAATGATCTAGAAATCCCATTTCTCCCTGATTATTAAAAGCCACTCCCAGTGCTGGGTAGCCTCAGATGTACTTACCCGTTCTTGAGTTTTGAGTTCCCAGAATCACTTGGGTAGCTTAAAAANAAAAAAAAAAAAAAAAAAAAGCACGTTCCTGGGCCCCCAGTCTAACATATAGAATCTAGAAGGCAGTGTAAGTTCTTCAGTTGATTTGGATAGCCATTGAGATTGAGTTATTTCCAGAGGGGTTAATGGATTTGAATACCTTCCTCCGTACCTGCCCCCTTCTCTAAAAAAAAAAAAACAAAAAACAGCAGCAGGTAAGTGGGATGTCCTGAAGGAACAAAGGCATTCTTAAAATTGCCAATCCATTGATCCCTTGAACCAAAGCTACTGACGGAGGGAGGAGACTCCTGTGTGGCTAAAAGGAAAGATTCAGTATAGCCCATTTTGAATACATATCTCCTATGTTTCTGCAGCATCGGGCTCTAATGGAAGAGCTAAACCGCAGCAAGAAGGACTTTGAAGCAATCATTCAAGCTAAGAACAAAGAATTGGAACAGACCAAGGTACTAGAAAGAAGGTGAAGGTTTAGAATTTGGTTAGTACACACAACTCAGCATTTCCAACAGGGCAAGGGTTGCTGTGGTGAATTAAGAGTGATTATGGCTATTCCCTGCTTTAGGGGAAATAATCTGTAAATTGATTCAGGCCTGTGGAAGGGTCTGCGTGTAGGACAATATTTTTTTCCTTTCCTCATTCAGAAGCGAAATGCTGGGAATCAGACTCCTGTCCTACAGTCTAGTCCATTGGCTGTGGTAGATGCTCCTTCAGTGTTTCACTGACACAGGCTAAGGGGTAGTGTAGTGAAAACACAGTTAATCCTGATGCATTTAGGTCATTATTTCTCACATCAAATCAGTGGAATGCTTAAATTAAGGGTTATAAACTCAGGTGCCCAGCAGGGTCAGAGTGGTAATAGAAGCGAGTGAAGTGGCTTGGGTTCAAGATCGCAGTAGGGAGCTGCAAGGACAGAGGACACCGGAAAGGGGCGCTCGCCACCCCTCTCCCACCCCCAAGAGGCAGCCCTTCTCTGCTGCTCCCGGTTGTTGCCGCCCAGAAACACAAGCCCAGTGTTGTCAGATCTGATTTTTCCGCAAAAGATGGAAATCTAGATGTTTATGTGAACTATCCCAATTTTCAAATATTAGCAACAAGTTCAGTTTTACTCTGTTTTGTTTTTTAATACCCTGAGGGCCAAACTAAACAAATCTGCCAGGCAGATCTAGTCCACAGGCCACCAGTTTGGAATCTCTGACCTGAAATTGATGCCCAAGACTGTCTGTATCTCTCAGCCCACCCTTCCCCCAGACAGACCCAGAGCGGAATACAGAAAGGAGGAGACTCCGTTTTCATTTGGCTTACTACCCTTATCCTCTGTTTAAATCGTGTAGTACCTTTCTTAACTTCCAAAAAGCCATCATATCTTTTTAAACCTAGCAATTTTTAGGTTTTCAGGGAACTTTAGTGAAAATGGTACATGCTCTCTACGCTGCCCTAAGCAGTGTGATACTTATTGCTTTGATTAGAAGAAACAATAAAAGATGAAAACTTAGTCTGCCATTCAAATATACCTAAGTGGCTGGGTTTTTTTCCCCCTCAGGGGCTCCTGACACTTTCAGTTTGGGAATGAGGGCTAGTTTAAATAAATGTTTGCTTCAAGAGAGCACACCTAGGGTCCTCCCCAAAGGGTATGTCTGTAGTCAGTCTGACATCTTGGGGAAAGCACAGCGAAACTGGACTGCAGACCTCTGCAGGAGTAGGAGGTGGCAGGCATCATAGAGTTTGGATCCTGAAAGTCCTTGAAGAGACCATCTCTCAGCCTCTCACCTCCAGGGAGTAGAAGTATTATCCTTATTTTATAGAAGAGGCAGCTGCAAGGAACACAGGGGTCCTTAGAAACGAATTCAGGCTTCCTGCCCCTATGGACTGTTCTTCATGTCTTCTTTCATGTCCAATGAGTTCTTGGTTGCTTGTGATGATTTTATAGCCCCTCTAAACTGCTGTTAGTTATAGGATTCTTAATGCCTCGTTCTGGTCTTGGGTGGCTGCTGGGGTCAGTATGCTGCCTTCAGTTTTCCTCATCTGGTTAGCTCTGGGAAAGGAGACAGAAGCTACAGTGCAAATACAGCAGAAGTGGAGAGAGGAAAGAAAGGAAGACCATGCCCTATATTAGAACGCCGTTCTGAGAAACATTAACGCTTAGGGAAAGGTTTTTATTCTCAAGACACTGTGCCAGGGTGAAGTTTTAATTTAGATTCCTGAATCCTAATCTAGACAATTAACCCTGCTCCCTGTCCTGTTTTCCATTCTCGTTGGTTCATCCAAATGACAGGTGGGGTGTGTTTCTTTGCAGGAGGAGAAAGAGAAGGTGCAAGCACAGAAGGAGGAAGTTCTAAGCCACGTGAATGATGTGCTGGAGAATGAGCTCCAGTGTATCATTTGCTCTGAATACTTCATTGAGGTAATTATCAGCAGTGGCGTATGTCTTCTTGCTCTCTCAACCCTGAATGGAACCTTGGCTACACCAGTTCTGCTATAGGGAAATGTTCTGAAGAGGTTTTTATTCTAGGAATCTATTGAAGTTATTTGACTTCATCATGACCTCTAGAGATGGCCATGTCTCATTTGTTTTTGTAGTCGTCTTTACCTTCACTGATCCTTTTTCTTATTTTTAAGTGGTGTGGAGTGTTTATTCAGTACACTCACTATTTTTAGCGACAGTGAAGCCTTTATTTCTTTGTCGTTGGGAGAAAACAGGGCCACATGGCATCAGATTTTTGAAGTATCAGTAAAGCTGCTCACTAAAGCTTCTCTTTCTTTACTCTGAATGGATGCAGTTCTGAGAGTGGGCGTCTAGTGCAGCCTTTAACAGGGTGGTAAGTGTCACTGATGTGTGGTCACTTTGGGAATTCAGCAGCCAAGTGGAACATATTTCAGGGACTCTAAGGCTCCCTATAAGACGAAACATCTCCTAAGTTACCATTTGTTATCCTGTCATATTTTTTGCGTAGACTTTATTTTTCACAAATTCTACCATTTGTGACTAGTTCATCTTACACTCGTCTTAAACTCAAGTTTTATTAAATGACCGTGCTTTTCAGATTTCTTTAAAAAGGAAAATATATGCACACACTCGCTCCTTCTTTCAGGTAGTCTTTTGGGAGGTTGAGTCTATTAGCCTCCCAAGAAATCCCTCTCAGGCAGATTTGTTTCTTTTGCTCTGGATCCAATTTGACTTCAGGTCTTAATTTCCCTCCATAGTTTCTAGTCCTTTGATTCCCTAGTTTGGAGAAGCTCCGTGTTGCTTTGACAGGGCTCGGCTAGAGGAAGGCAAGGGAAGGGGGATTGGGATTGGGGAGAGTTAGCCAATGCGGGGCGTCCGCACAGACATCTCAGAGACAAAGCACCTGACCTGTGCTGTGTTTACAGCACGCTGCCTGACCCTTTCTACGGTCACCTCAAAGTCAGCATGGGAAAGAGGTTTTGTTTTAATCAGACAGGGTTTTAGTCCTGTTTGTGAGACTTTATCTCGTACAGTTAACAAAATATCTCTTAGTTGGCTTTCTGCGCTCAACTTGGCATTTGAAAAATGCATTGTTTCTGTTATTTTCCACTGCTATCCTAAAAGCAAGAATGAAGGCTTTTGAGCCTCAGAAAAACTTGTATCATAGGAGATGTACATAAACAAGAGTATTAAAGAGAATGGTTTATATTTTGAGAAGTGAAAAGGACCTTAGAAGAAATCTGACCATTGGAATTACTCCTTTTGCTTTCCCTCTTCTGACAGGTTTATTTACCAAAGGGTTCAGTCACTGTCAGTGAACCCATTACATTTTTCCCATTATCTTGATTCCTTTTCCCCCAGGCTTTTTAGTCATCGTTTACGTATATTTTACTTTCTTAAGCTTCTTTTGAGTAGAAATGCTGCCTCCTACCATTCTATATACTGATTACTCAGACTGTACTCTCCTTCATATATTAAAACTGAAGTTCTGACTCACCATTAGCAGGATATACACTTATTTTTCCATGAGGGAATTAATGATATATTTGTACCAAACATTCACATGCTTCCTGGTCCTACTTGTGTCCAGTGACATTTGTCTGCAGGGTAGCTAATCTGCGTTGACAGTGTCATCTGAGTTGGTGGAACCAGATAGGCAAATCAGCCTATGTCTACGAACTTAACCTTTGAGAAAGAAAATTAATCGTCTGACTTAAACCTTAAAATTTCTTATCCCCAGAAACGATTCTGATACCCTCTGTAAGCCCTCTAGATGGGATTATTGTTAAATTTCCACTTGGCCCTGGAAATAAACTCCTCTACTAGCTTTGAGATCACAGCTGCCCTGGGAAAGTAAGCATGACGGTTCTGATGTGTGTGTTCACATTCCCATTTTAGGCTGTCACCTTGAACTGTGCCCACAGTTTCTGCTCCTACTGTATCAATGAATGGATGAAGCGAAAGGCAGAATGCCCCATTTGTCGGAAGGACATCAAGTCCAAATCCCACTCCCTGGTTCTGGACAATTGCATTAATAAGATGGTAGATAATCTGAGCTCAGAAGTGAAAGAACGACGAATTGTCCTCATTAGGGAACGAAAAGGTGAGTCGGTATGAACAAGAAGGTGAGGCCCCTCAACAAAAGACTTAGAAACTTAAGCAGATATTTTTGGCTGGGGAAGAGAGTGAGATAAATGATTCTTAGGCCAAAGAAGAGGAGGGAGAGATGGGGAAAAATAGAGAGTAAAAGGTAATGAACATGTGATTAAATTTTTTTTTAATGTTTTTTATTTATTTCTGAGAGAGAGAATCAGCGTGAGCAGGGGAGGGTCAGAGAGAGAGGGAGACACAGAATCCAAAGCAGGGCCAGGCTCTGCGCTGGCTGTCAGCACAGAGCCCAATGTGGGGCTCAAACCCACGAACCGTGAGATCATGACCTGAGCCGAAGTCGGACGCTTAACTCACTGAGCCACCCAGGCGCCCCAGTGAACATGTGATTAGGAGTTGAGGGAGAATGGACTCATATATGAGCATTGGGGGAGGGGGAGGCTTAAGTGTATGGATGTGGGTAGAAAACACAAGGTCAGATGGTTTGTTGTGCTGATAACTAGATGGTGCTGTTGTTCAAGACAGTTCAGTTGCTGTCCAGGTGTTGCAAAAACCTTGGGTTGGGTACACCATCAGTTATAAATCGGAGGTGAACAAATCAGAGATTCACAAATTGGAGAATACTTGAAGAAAACACATACAGGTTTTATAATAAGTCACAGCTTAATTACACAAATTGGATATAATGTTAAACTAGAGAGATAAATTTAATCTTTGGGGATCCTAATACGTTTACCAACTAGTTTCCTAGTTGGAGAGAATTGGGAGGAAGAGAAGGGCTGGGTGAGTTCCCCTAATGAACCATGTTTCCTTGGTGAATATCCGTTCATTCAACAAGTGATCCTATCACACTTGGAGCTTGCTGTGTTGAGGGTACCAGAGCCCCTCCGCTTGAGACCCAACTGTCCTTGTGACAAAAGATGTGTCTTGGGGCCGGGCACAGGGAAGCTAATGGATAGGAGGAAGGATTGGTTATTGGCCAGGCACGAGAGTGCGTAGAAGCAGGGTGGATCTGATTTTCATGTTCAGTCCCTCTAAGAATCCAGCACAGCACTACCCTCTGGGAAGGCACCAGAGCCAAAGTGCTGTGATGTCAGCTGGCCGCACAAAAAGGCCATGCAGAGAAGACAGCCCACAAGCTCACTGCCTTTACAGGTGCTTCCCACCACCCGGCCGTTGATAACTCATATTCACATGTGTCTTTGATACACCTTTCTCTAAGCGCAGAGAGATGGCAGGCCTGCCAGCCACACTGCTAAGAGTGGGATCTTCTGTCCACTGCTTCCTTTTTTTTCTAGCTCTTCAAGAGATGTCAGCCACTGTGAGTAGAGCCAGGAATCTGACACGGATGTGCAGGCAGCTGTGGTGTGAAACTGGGCCTCAGCTGGTCAGCCCGAATGGAGGCAGCAAGCCTGTTGCAGAGCCGGGCAAAGCCGGTGCTGAGCAGGAAGTATGCTTGAGCCTTTTCTGCCCAAGGAAGGCGTTGTCCCCGTGGGAGAGTGGGACAGCCCTCAGGTGGTTCTTTGGAACCAGGATGTCTTCCACTTTCCTGACAGCTGTGTGCTAATAGGTTCTGTGGCCAGTCTGAGCTCTCACAGATCTTTTACCTCCCAGGGGCCACTTGATTCTGGCATAATCCTATCCTTCTTCTCACTCCCATCAGCTTTTACAGGAACAGTCCCCTCCATTCTGGGATAAAGAGATCTATAAGGCATCGTCTCAGTTCTCGCAGCACTCAGTCTATGGAGGGGGTAGGAAGGCAAGTCGGTGGTGTGACAAGTTCCCCACCAGGGCGCTGGGACACTGCAGAGGAGCAGACAGTTTGGCCTGGGCTGGTAGAGGTACGGTAGAAAGCTGCATGGGAGAAGTGTCATTTGAACGGAGTCTTAGAGATTCTCAGGGGTGTAGCTTTCCAAGCAGAGGCTTCAGCACAAGCGGAGCACAGAGGCATGAGGAGCAGTGACAGTTCATAGCAGTGCCCCCCTGGTGGCGCGTACATGACAGAATATCTACATGGTGCTGGAGCAGCAGGAGGACAGCCAAGGCCTAGGAGGTGTCTGCCGAGGCCTGGAAAGGGAAGGAAGAGCCGCGTGTCTTAAGTTCACCTCTGGCTCCCCTCACGAAGAGTTAATTCTGCACATTACATTATATCACACCCCCCTTTTCTCTCCAAAGGCTGACGAGGGTGCCCCTTTGCCTTTTTGGTAACCATAGGAGCCCGCACAGTAAGCTGAAGCAGCCCCCCATGGCACTCGCTGGCACCAGGCTCCGTTTCCGCAAGGAGTGCAGCTTTGAGGTTTTCTCCAGAGACTGACAGAAGGCTCTGAGTCCCAGTTTAGGGAAACAGGTGCCAGAGCCATCAGCAGGTCCCCTGGTCTGGAAGGGGGGGGTTAGAGAAGATTGTCAGTTCTAATACCAGCCTTCCTTATCAATTGGAAACTGCTTTAATCCCCAGCGCATGGGAATTTTTAAAGGGACCAAACTTAGGACCCGGGAACCAGGATTGGCCAGCCTGTGGTCGTCAGAGCTCTGATGCTGTGGTAGGGCGCTTTTTCTCCTGGGCAGAGGTTGCTCTTGTCACCAGTTCAGGGAGGGAAACGTGCCTGTCTTGTGGCAGCGTAGGGTGCTGATTCCACCAGGGGCAGCCCCACCGCAGGCCTCCTGGCTGGCTCTTGTCTTCTAGTTCCGTGTCCCTGTGGGAGGAGTGGTGCCTCATGGCTGAGGAGCCATTGATCCCTTGCAAACGCCGTGAGGCCAGATCATACAGAGAACAGGAGGAGAGTGGTAGGGTACTAGCCCCTGTGTTAGAGAAAGGGTGCTCCGGGGCTGGGGCAGGGAACAAACAGCTAGTAAGTGTTTGTCACGTGAGTAGCTGTGCCTCTCTGGGATATTGACATGAGATTTTCTGAAAAGAAGGCATTTTTTTTTGACATTCCCTGTAGAGGATCTCCCTCTGGAGCTGATGAGGAGCCAGAGCGCAGTCTTCTGTCAGCGACTCCCTTTCCTCCCTTTGTTCCATTCTTATTAAATGTTGGTTGACAGAGTGTTAACATTCTCACTTTTAGCTTTCCCTTGCAGTTTCTTTGGGTTGTGCTCAGAAAAGAAGAAAGCAAATTATCTAGAAATAAAATCTTGTTGGTCTTTTAGAATAGTGCTTTTCAGTCTAGGGGCTTTTTGAAAGTACAGTCCGCTGACTCCCTTGATGCCGTTATATTGAACCAAGGCTACTGGTGGGAGTGCACCGTGGCCTTTAGGTATGTTGAGGTGGGGAGAAAGATTCAGAAAGCTTTCCTGAATCTGTGAGACAGAGGCCCCTCCAGAGGTTAAGGGTCTCTAGGGAGATAGACTCAGGTCAAACCACATGGCCTGTGACTCTTGCCGGTTTCCCGTAGGCTGTGAGGAGGGTGATCCCAACACAGGACAGGAGAAACTGGCAGCCACTTAAGAGAGTAGCTGCCTACCCATCTGGAAGGCTTTCCTTGACATTGTCCATCACCCCTTTGCTGAACTTGTACAAGAGTATGTGGAAATGGCAGCAGTAGCAGGGTCTGGCAGGTTGACCTCATCCAGAGAGAGTACTTGTTAGCAAGTACTTTTAATCTGCCCACCCCTGCCACTAGAGAATTGTGTGCATGTAGCGAGTATGCCTGGCTGGCTTTACAGCAATCCGTCTAGGGGAAAATGGCTCTCAACAAGGTTGGCATGGAGTGGGGGATCCACATGCATTCATTCAAATAGTATGTAACACTAAACTCTTAAAATTTTTGACTTTGAAAAATTCTCTCTTTGCAAAATTGTCATGGGATACAAAATTAGAATTGTTAGTAGAAGCTTTTATCTTATTTCTCCCATCATCACCCCCCCCCATTTTTTCCCCTTATTTTTCTTTTCCTTATTTTCTTTTGTCTGTTGTCCTTCCTTTCTTTGTCTCTTGATGGGTATCTCCGCCATCACCCTTACTGGCATCTCAGAATGAACAGTTGGAAATGACAAGGACAGCACAGAAAGTGTCCACCCAGTGGGGGAAGGGATTGTGATCTTAGTAGAAGTCAGCTATAGGATTAATTGGAATATGTGAATAGCAGCCCACGAAGTCCTAGAACCTCAGATTTTTTTGCTGACTATAGTCCTTTAGACTTCTGAGCGTCTTTCCATCTAGAGGTCAAAAGCCTGTTGCTGACTTTAGTGCTCTGTGGTGGAGTGTCTTCTCCCCTTCACCAGAAGCACCTTACCGTAGGCTTAGGAGAGTGGCCTTCCTGGTTGTGATTAAAGATCCTTCACTGTACCCCAAATGTACAGACGACTGGATTTGAGGGAACCAAATGTGCCATACCAGAGTGAAGAGATCCAGGGCTGACCTTGACTACTTGCCCACTGAGTCAGGAGCTCTGGTGAGCCCCCACCATGCTTACTGGCCAAGGCCTGTTCCCTGGGGAAAAGGAGAAGACCATGAGCACACACTAGAGCTTCAAAAGAAGTACTGAGCAGCTCTGGCCTTCTCTAGGGGGGTAGCAGGGGATACCTTAGATCATTCATGCTGTTTTCCTCAGCAGAAGTTGCTCCTGGCCTTTTTTATCTTCTTAATGAAAAAATAGAGTTATTTTGGTTTTCTAAAAAATGGATCTTCCCTCCCTATGAACATGTAACTTTATGATTTGCTTTATAGACATACTTTCAGGAACTTCTTATTATAGAAGACCACCTGTGTAAATACAGAGTAGTGTCATTAACCAAAACAGATTTTCCGTTAGCGTTTCTTGGTTCTTAAACTTAACTCTAGATGAACAGAGAGTGTCTTGGTTGGTTGGTTGGTTGGTTGGTTGGTTGGTTTTTAAGTAGCCTTCACACCCAGCGCAGAGCCCAGCATGAGGCTTCAACTCATGACCCTGAGATCAAGACCTGAGATGAGATCAAAAGTCAGTCGCCCAACTGACTGAGCTACTCAGGAGCCCCAAACACAAAAGCATGTTTAGATTTCCTTGAACTGATCTTGGAGACTGACTGGGGTCACTGAATATGCCTCTTCTTCCCACCTCCATAGAATATAATGGACTCAGATATATCACCATTGAGGCTTCTCTGCACCAGCTGGATATATATGCTGCCCAATTGCCTACTTCTGCATTCTTAAGAAATCTAATAAGAGTGGGGGTGCCTGGGTGGCTCAGCTGGTTAAGCATCTGACTTTGACTCAGGCTATGATCTTATGATTCTTGAGTTCAAGCCCCACATCAGGCTGTCTGCTGTCAGCACAGATAGAACCTGCTTCCAATCCTCTGCCCCCACCTAATCCCTTCCTCCCACTCTTTCTCTCAAAAATAATAAACATTAAAAAGAAGAATCTAATAAGACCAGACATGTCCCTGTTCCTGGCTAGGGCTTCTGCTTTGATTGCTTTCTGTTTTCCTACTCTTGTCCCATGAAACCTGAACTAGAAGCAACCCCCAGAAAACATCTCTTCCTTGCTGCTTTTCTTCTGGGCCTTTCCTACTTAGTTCCTACTAAGTGCCAGGTGCGAGGGCTAAATGTGAGCAGGCATAAGGATGAAAAATTGCCCTTTGGATGTAGCAGGACTGTGGGACCTTGATGACTTTATTTAGTACAAGTTTGGGGGACTGGTGGGGTCAGAAGCTAGTTTACAGTGAATCGGAGAGTGAATGTGAGATTAGGGAGTAGAGAAAACAGAAAAGTAAGATAGCCCAGGTCTTCTAAGAAATTTGGCTACAACTAAGACCATAGGGACAGCATGAAAAGAAGGCTGTAGATGGAGAAGGAAGTTTTTGTTTTGTCTTGTTTTTTTTTTTTTTTTTTTAAAGACATGATCAGAGTTCTGTGTGGTGTTCAGTTGCTGAGCCTGTGAAGGAGAAGCTGGGAGGCTGGAGTAGTGGGTAGGGCCAGATTCTGTGGAAGGCAGGGCAGGGAATGCAGAGCGTGGATGGTGGGAATTAGTCCTTAAAGGTGGGGGAGGGGGCGCCTGCATGGCTCAGTTGGTTGAGCGTCCGACTTCTGCTCAGGTCATGATCTCACGGTTCGTGGGTTCGAGCCCGCGTTGGTCTCTGTGCTGACAGCTCAGAGCCTGGAGCCTCCCTCCCTCGGCCCCTCCCCCACTCTCACTCTGTCTTTCTCTGTCTCCGAAAAATAAATAAAACGTTAAAAAAAATGTTTTTTAAGTGGGAGGGTACATCCTGTTTTCTGGAGAGAAGGGGCTTAATGTGGAGGGTGGGCAAGGAAATTTGCTTGAGAGAATTTCTTTTTTGTGGCTTCTCTGTTTTTCTGTGAACTACAAGGTGAGGGAGCCTTGCTTGGCTCTCTCAGCTCTCTAAGGCTGCCCACAAGTGGAGAAAAGTAACATTTACAATCCTTTCAGTCCTCCTACTAAGCCTGCAGGACCTCGGTCCCAGGGAAGGGGACCGTCTCCTTGGTGGCTTTATTGTGTCCTTAGGCCAGGATCCCTGCTTCCCCTAACTGAGGAAGTAGAAACAGTAAATAGCAATAAATTGTCCCTGCCACCTTTCCCTCCCCACCTGTCCTTGCCTAGTGTTGTGATGCTTCAGCACATGTTCATTGAGGGCCAGCTTTGTGCCAGGCCTGCTCTAGGTTACAGAAATAGAAAGAGAAGTGAAAATCTAATAAGTTTGATGTGATTAGTGCTATGGAGAAAAACAAAGCAAGGGATCAGGGAGTGACGGGAAGAGCATTGCCATTTTTCACAAGGTAGTCGAGGAAGGCGTCACCAAGAAGGCGGCACTGGAGTAAAGCCCTGAAGGCAGCAGCCCTGTTGCCATGTGGGGAAGGGTATCGTGTGGGGAGCGAACTTGGGAGGTGGAGGGGCAACGAGGCTGCCGGTGTGGCTGGAATGGAGTGTGCGATGGGGGAGGAGTAGGAGGTGGGACAGCACAGATTGTGTAGGACCTCAGGGCCCTTTAGAAGGAGTGGGACTTGAACCCTTACTCTGGATGAATGAGGAGCAGGCTCTGAACAGAGTGATGTGCTCCGATGTCTGTGTTCTTGGTTCACTGTGTGGGGAAGAGATGGAGTGTGGCAGCAGGGAGGCCAGGCCAAGGAAATGCAGCCTCCTCCTTTACGTCTCTTTTCTTTCTCTTCAAAGCAAAGAGACTGTCCTGAAGACCATGCTCCAGGGGCATCGGAAGGACTGCCAGGCAAGGGGAGCTTGGAGCTTGGGATGGTCTGGAGGATTCTCTGCGGACAGGTCTTGCTTGGGCCGCTCTGAGATAGAGCATGGGATGGAGCCACGTGGGACAGAGACTGAGTTAGGAAGTCCTCATGAGCCTCCATGTCGGCCAGCCTTACTGCCACCATTGTCTGAAGCGCCACCGGTCCTCACCGCACTGACCGCTTCAGGGGACGCGAGAGACTCGGCTTCACTGCGTGTTGAATGGGTTATGTATTTCTGTTCTGCCTTTTAAATGTATTGTTGTTACTGTTTTGGTACCTCAGAAACACCTCTGTTGACCTTTGTTTTGGACAGGTTGGGTGTACCCCTGTGGCTGCCCCTTAAAAGCTAAGGCAGTTTCTCTTGGAGAAGATGGCATACCTCTTTGTGAAAACAAGATGTCATTTCCTGGAAATAAAATGTAAAGCCTATCAGTTGTGCAGCTGGGCTTTGGTGTATTTATCTTCTTCTCTTCCAGCTCCCACACAGTCTCACAAGTAAACACTGGCAGCTCATAAATTGCAACCAAGAAAGTGACTGTGTCAGATGATAGACTCAAGTGAATGTCAGCATAAGAAGCCAAGCCCAGGATCATGACTGTTGCAGGTGGGCACTTTTAAGGCCCTGACTTGTTTTTCCTTTTCATTCCAGAGGTGGGTCCCTGCTTACCTGGGTTTGAGACAGGGTGCATTCCCTTCTTTCAGCCGGGGGTTAGAAGTGGTTTCTAAACTATTTTATTTATTAATTATTATTATTATTATTATTTTTATTAAGTAAACCCTACACCCAACATGGGGCTCAGACTTACCACCCTGAGTTCACGAGTCACGTGCTCCGCCCACTGAGCCAGCTGGGCGCCTCCCAAATCTGTTTTATCCGGTGTGAAAACAAGGGCAATGGTTTGATGAGAATGTGGTATTTATTTGTTTATTTATTTATTTTTAATGAAAAGTCATTTCTCTTTTACTGCTTCTCCTTTTTAAACAGAGAGAAAACTAGTTTGGTGTTTGGGAGAGAGAAGCTTAGGAAAACATCCTTGGTTATCAGTGAGGAGGATGAGGGAAGGTGCAGGAAGCTGAAGGGTAGTCACTTGAAATGAGGAGCCCTCTCTAGTAGGATTGTGAAACTGTGCATTTTGTCGTTCAGCAATATGCTTCCAGATGGAAAGGTATTTCCTCCCCCTTTTTACTGTCTATCTGGAGAACCATACCTTGTAGTGCTTTATTTATACCCCTGTGTTTTCATTACGGATGGGCAACTGTTGACTCACCAACTCTTCAGGAATGGTAGATTTGCAACACTGAATTTCCCCTGTACACGTGTTCCGTTTGCATGATTGCGTGAGCACGTATAAATTCTTGTATATTGTTTTCTTAAGCTCATGCGTCATAATTCACTTTTAGAAGAGTGCAGATACACATTTTTTGAATAGGTAATACGGTCACGTGCCTTAAAAGCAGAAGGCACCAAAGGACCTAAAGTGAAAAGCCTGTCACCCTTGCTCCCCAGTGACCACTTCCCTGCCCCGAGGTGACGAGTGTTACTAGTTCTTTGGGTGCCCTTCCAGACATCTCTGACTGTACAAGCAAAAATACTCATAGTCTTCTCCCTTCTTTTGTATAAATTATGACAGACTCTACACTCTCTGTACCTTGCTTCTTTCAAGATATATCTTGGTGATCGTTCCATATCAGAACATGAGGAACTTGCTCTTTCTTTGCTGTCGCTGCCTCTTATTCCATTGTGTGTTTGCACCATAATTTGTCCAGTCTGTTTTTGATCTAAGTTGCTTTAAACCTTTTACTTCCTTTTTTTCATACAGCTCTCCAAGTCCTGCTAAGTGAATCTTGGAATATATACTCTAAAACAACAAAGCAAAAATAACAAAAAATTACATAGCACCCATAAAATGTTATGCAAAGAAGGAATAATGGCAAGGTTGGAAATCCACATACTGGGAGTTCTCTTTTAAAATCAAAGAGGGTAGGGGCACCTGGGTGGCTCAGTCGGTTCAGCATCTGACTTTGGCTCAGGTCATGATCTCCCAGTTAGTGAGTTCAAGCCCCACATCAGGCTCTCCACTTTCAGTGCAGGGCCCGCTTCAGACCCTCTGTCTCCCTCTTTCTCTGACCCTCTGCTGCTTATGCTCGCTCTCTCTGTCAAAAAGAAACTTTTTTTTATAATTAAAAATTTTTTTTTTAAATCAAGGAGGGTCAGTGTTTCTTTTTAAAAAATGTATGGTTAAGTAAATAAAAAAATACTTTTTTGGTTGTAACTATTTTCCTAAATATTTTATTAGTAACAGTCTTTTGAGTCTGGTTCCATAAGAATCTATAACATAACTACTTCCATCTGAAGTTCCTACAGTCTTCACTGGAATAAGAATGAAATCAAGTAGGCTCTCAATTCCGCAAAACACTACAGCACAAAGTAAACCTAAGGCAGAATATTCAAGATAAAATTGGTCTCCCAACCATTCAAGAAAAAGACAGTGCAACTATTACTTTGAATGACTAGCCACTTACATTTACATTTGGGAGCTTGAGAAAATCAATTTCATTTCCAGTAAAATATTTCATTGCCAGAGAAATCCTTATCAGTTGTCTTGGGCTCTGGAAAACAGAGCATGAATTGTGTAGTTTCTACAGTTATCTGGTTCTCGCCATAGTATTGTTGGTTGGTTGGTTGGTTTAGGTATTTACAAGTACATTGTCTCATTTTGAGGTTCTCACACTTCTGTATCTCCCTGCCCCCAGTGGTGGTGGTGGCAACCTTCCAAGTTTCCATGGTAACCAAAAGGAGCCCCAGGACTCCCAGGAGCTGTTGGGCGTGTTAGGGATCAGTGTGTCCCACTTGTTACTCTTAAAAACACAATGCAAAAAAAGTTAAAAACAACAATACTGCAGTGAACACTGTTCTCATTAGAGCAAAGATCCTCGAAGAAGGAACATCTTGACTGGAAGAGCCTGAAGGCCACCTGCCAAAGACTAATCTTACAGACTGACCGTTCCCTTCTCTGCCTGCACACACAGTGACTTAGAGTCTCTCTCTTCAGAGCACCACGTTCTTCTCAAGTGTACCACACAGGTTAAGGAAGTGAGCTCTTAAATACAGACCTAAGAAAAAGAAAACTTAACATTTGAAAGTCAGACCAGCTGGGTTTGAATCCCAGACCTGCCATTTGTAACTGTGTGAGACCTTGAGCAAGTTACTCAATCTCTGAGCTTCCGTTTCTTTCTCCCTTAAATACCCCAATGTGCTCTTGTGAGGCCTAAATAATTATCTCAGTAATTGCGCTGCTCAGAAACAAAAACCTGAATGTTCTATTTTTAAAAGACACAAACCAAAAACTAACCCAAACTTTTCGCATTGTTTCTCTGAGCTACAGTATGCTCTTCCCCTGGAGAGAGATCTGATATTAAACATCATCTACATTTTGCTTGCCTAGAAAAACACATGGTAACTTCTCTGCCTGCAGCACCAAACCACAGTATAGCTGAGCCCCACTACTGTGTAGTCTGGCTCTAATTAAAGGCATGTTCTGGACAACAGGGCTCTGAGAAACTGGGTAAAGGGTTTGTTTCAGATTCTGGCTTTATTACACAGATGAACGCAGCCAGCTAGCTCTGCGAAGCACTTTGCAGTGAGCGGCAGGTGTCCCGTATACATCTGATTACGTTAACCTAGAAAGGGTTTACTCTACCTCTAGGCATGCTTCATCTCGGCAATCCGACTGCCCGGGCGGGGCAGTTTGCCCTTTGTGGGTTAGGTAGCTGGATACTTATCATCTGTTTCTCTGATTGGAAGCTGCTGTTTTTACAGAAAGCCCTAAATCCTCTCATTATCTCCAGCCCTTCTCTTTGATCACTTTTTCCCTCTGAACAACTATGCAGGCAGTCACCATGGCTGCAAGAGTGCCTGGGATGGACAGTTCTCTCCAGCTGCCCATTAGCTTTCAACATCCTGACTCTGGATAGAATCTCCCCACTTCATGTCTGAGGATAGCCTAGAAACTCAGGAATGCCCTAAGTATGTTCTTCGCAACAACAAGTTCTAAGCTTCTAAAGAACCCTACGATTAACTCTTTGACTCAGAAATTAAGAGAAGGAACATCTCACTTGCAGTGTGGTCCTAACCTAAGAACCTAAGAAAGTTAAGAGAATCACGTAATCACTGTCCCTAACCCAAGAGATGCAGTCTTGTTAACAGGTGCAGGGCCTGATTTGAGCAAATTGTTGCCACTGGTAACAGTAGGCCAACGGCTTGCTCTGAACTCCCCACTTGGTCAATTCTTTTAGCTTTTTCGATAAATGGGAGTTGGGGCAGTAGGAATAGGGGCTTCTGGGGAGAAGATAAGCCTTGTATTGATGAAAAATAATGAACTGTCTTGTTCAACTGATTTTATCATGTTTAAAAAAATTTTTTTTCTAGAGAAAGAGAGTGAATGTGTGTGTGTGAGTGGTGGGGAGGGGCAGAGGGAGAGAAAGAATCCATGCTCAGTGTAGAGACCAACATGGGGCTTGATCCCATGACCCTGGAAGCATGACCTGAGCTGAAATCTAGAGTCAGATGCTCAACTGACTGAGCTACGCAGGGGCACTCCCTCCCCCCCCCCCCCCCCCCCCCGCACATGATTTTGTCCATTTAGAAGAGCATATGAATTCCAGGAAAGAGCTGAGTCTGTAGTAGGTGCTCAGTAAATACATGCTATAATTCTTTTGTCTGCAGCTCCCCAAGCAACATGCCCACCATGGGTTGCCAGAGCTCACTAATGTAATCTCCATGCATTATTTTCTGTTTGCGGTTGTTTTACCCACGTCTAACCCAGATCCCCACCTCAGATCCAACTTCAAGCCCCACTGTCTGCTACCCCTTCCCTTTGGGCTCCGTGAATACTTTAATCCGGTGTAACTTTTTTGTCATGGAGTGGCCACTTGAATTCTGGATGTTTTCAGTAAACTCAGCAATAGTTATTGAATGCCCATTTTTTACTAGGCACAGCTCTAGGAATTTGGGATATGGCACTGAAAAAGCAAAAATGCTGCTGTGAGCCTATATTCTGTTCTAGGAGGGGTCAAAATGTCAAAAACTTCCCACCAAAGTTTTATCAGGTTCATGTGGGAAGGGTTTAGCAACGCTGCCTGCGGAGCTAGTA